TACTTTGCTTTGTTAGACATTGTTTTTTATGAATGAAATTACTTCACCTCGCAGTTCTATATCTCGCGGGAGTTGTAGGTGGGACTTCATTGGCAAAGTGGGCGGTTCGTTCGAACCCCCCGAACCCCCCCTGGCTACGCGCATGCTGTCATACAACATCAGACTGTCATACAACAACAGACTGTCATACAACAACAGACTGTCATACAACAACAGACTGTCATACAACAACAGAGTGTCATACAACAACAGAGTGTCATACAACAACAGACTGTCATACAACAACAGACTGTCATACAACAACAAAGTGTCTTCAGTCAGAGGCTTCTTCAGATCTGTTGTAGGACAGACGCTACAAGAGATCCTTCCTGCCCACAACCATCAGCATCTATAACAACTCTTTAATGAAACCAGGATGATGAGTTACAACATTTAATTTCCCTCTGGGATTAATAAAGTATTTTTGAATTTGAATTAAATTTGAATTAGCTCTTTTGCTTGTTTTCCATCAGTGCTGTCCAGAAGTTGTAATTTCTTTACCTCCATCGATCCAGTTGGCTCTCCTTGCTTGTGCAAGCTTTCCCACTCCTTCTTCCATCTATAATATTCTCGTTTATCACCAGTGAAAATGGGAAGAGATGTGACTTTTATTCTCACAATTGGGTTTGCAACAGCAGGTGTCAGCAATGGTGCTCCACTCCTCCCTTTAGTGGATTCTGTGACCCGACGTGACAAACTCTGCCATTCTTAGTTCAAGGTTTTTTTTAATTGATTTTAAGTTTTTTACTCTCGTATTAAAAGTTCTTCTCTCTTCTACAGGGATCCATCGCTCCCAGACTAGCATGGTTTCAGTTGCTTGCTTTAGCCTTTTTTCCAAAAGGTTCATGTGGCCTCAAAGCCTTCAACATTTATACTCAAGACAGGCAAGTCGATTGCTATTTGTCCACTTTCTTCGGCCTCCATGACAGCTGTTAACACTTCCTGCTGGCCATATCTGGACCACAAGTTATCTTGGAACAGTCTCTCTTATGAGTTTAAATTTTTCTTCGGCCTCTCTTGCCGTTTTATCAATCTCCTCTTGCTGTTCAAGATACGGTTCCTCATCTTTTGTTGTGTCTGCCAGTGATAATAGTCCTGACATATAATTGTCATTTTTTTCTAATAGTTCTTTGAGACATTCAGACATTTTCTTAAATTCCTCCATTAGTTCTTCATGAACCATTATATTTGCGTCTCTCATGACAATGTTGGCTTGATGAGTGAAAAGGCTCTTAGCAATAGTCCGCTCCTTCTTGAGCTGTTCGACTTCTTCTGCCATTCTGTTCTTGCGTCCACAGCACCTGGATTTGCAAAGCTGTTTATCTTTACTCCTTGCTATTCGCTCGGTTTTCAACTCTCAAGTCTTTTCTCCAACCAGCACTGATCCGACTTGAAAGATCCAAGAAGAAAGTAGACGTAGGCTCAACTCACTTCATCATCTTTATTAATTATTCTCAGAGATGGTTCTGCAGCTGTAGCAGCATCAGTAGAATCAGAATCAGTAGAATCAGAATCAGTAGAATCAGAATCAGTAGAATCAGAATCAGTAGAATCAGTAGAATCAGAATCAGTAGAATCAGAATCAGTAGAATCAGTAGAATCAGAATCAGTAGAATCAGTAGGTTGTCCAAAAAAGTTAAATCTGGTCCTCTGGACATTCAAAAAAACAAAAAGCAAAACAATATAGAAACGTTTCGTCTCTCATCCGAGAGACTTCCTCAGTCTGAGGTGCTGTATTCAGCTCAGTCTCTTAAATAGCACCTTCTCAGAGTGGATCAACACTTGATCCACTCTGAGAAGGTGCTATTTAAGTACAGTCCATTTACATTTATGCTATTGCACTAACAAGTATAAACATTCAATTCAGTACAATCCATAAATTTTAAAATATTCAAGAACAGTAATATTTGGGTTAAAGGTCAGGTCAAGGCCCAGACAGTGTTGCCTTCAATGGTTCTCAATGAGGAGGAATTTCTAAAATGATATGTTTGTTTGTTTTTTATTAGGAAGAGAGAGAATAAATGAAAGCCATATTTAAGTCTTTGTTTAAAAATTAAAATAGGTTACTGAGTTAAAATGAAAGATCATATACTCTGGGGTTGTCAGTGAACAGACTAAGGGAAAATAAATAATAGTTTTCCATAGTTTAACTTAATTAATTGTTGTCATCATTCTTTGTTGAAATCAGGTCTCTCTTGTAAATGAGTCCTCGAGGCTCAATGGGATTAACCTGTCTAAATAAAGGATGAATGAATTAAGAAGTTACAAATTCATTAAAATGGCTGTGAGCTTCTCTTCAGCTATTTGTTTGGTAATGAAATTTGATCCTTTTTGTGATCTTTACATTTTAGTCACATGAGTGTTTCTAATTTTAGTTCACATGCTAAAATTCCCACAGCATTTAAAGGTTGCACGAGGGGAGCCGGGCAGAGCGGGCCAGAGAAAGAATTACTGCGCATGCGCAATAGTCGTTCAACTGCTGGAGACATGGCGACGTCCCTGATCTGCGGCTGTTTGACGGCTACCCTGAGAACTTCAGGGGCCAGAAACACTTTTCAGTCTGCTACCAAGGTGAGTGTGTGTCCACGTTGAAGTACAAACCTTCGACCTTCGTTACACGTTTCTGTTATGACGTTACATCTGTCCTGACAAGTACATTTATCTGAAAAGTGGAAGAGGTCAAATTTAGCGTTAGCACAACACCATTGAGTTCGTATTGTTTGTGCTAACATGCTAACTAGCAGGGAGTTGAGAGCTAGCGCAGCCGCTGTCAGCGCTGCAGCAACTACAGCGATCACCCCGACAGTACCCTCAGGCTCATTTTAGCTCGTCATTGAGGAGTGTGAGGCGTTGTGGTCGGTAGGTTCGCTGTGTTGTGCAGTAAAGTTCAGCAGCTGCAGCGGCGCCTTAGCGGCTCTGACGTCATGTCCGGTTTGAGTCCGTCTGGAAACCACAAGAGCTTTTACTGCAGGTGCAGGCTGTTGAACACCACAGGGACACGGTCCCTCATCCAACAAACAAACAAACAAACAAACAAACAAACAGGGATCTTGTTTACAGGCCACGACAACCCCCCCAACAAGATCCTCAAAAATTTATTTTTAACTTAATTTGAAAGTTCTCATTTCAAGAGTTTGTGGCATCTAAACAATAGAAACCAGATAATATTTATTTGACAAAAGTGCTATATAAGTATAATGTGATGTTAAAGAACTAACTGCGTCTTCTTTTCCTTCATCATGCTGTCTTATGCAGTATGACTGTGATTCCTCTGTAATCTGAAGGGGCTGAGGGATAACTAAACATCTTGCGCAGCCCAGAGGAGGTGTTTACAGCACACGTTCTGGAGAAATGCACACGTCCAGACCATCTCACAATAAACCGCTCAAATGTTGAACCGCGTCTTCTTGACACCATTTTATCCTTGATGTTTAATGACCGTTTCTGCAAGAGAACGGTTGAGTTCAATTTCATTGTAAAAATAATAAAAAAACAATTGTTTATTAATCACCAGGTATATTAAAACATGCTTTTTAAAAAGTTTTATTTTCTATATCCTTAAAATCAAAGGATTTTTAAAAAACATTTGTTACCTCCATCTAATTATTCAAAAACAAATTTTCAAACTTTTTATTTTTTTATTTTATTTTTACTAGTGTTTTTAGTGATTGGTTCTCTCCAATTTTATTTATTTATTTATTTTTTCTGTTAAGTTAAAAAAGTTGTGCTTGGTTTAAGAGCAAAGGTTTTTTTTAGTGCTAACAAAAGACCCAGAAACTGTTTTTTTTAAAAAAAACTAAAATACCATTAATTTAATTTTATGCAAAATTTTATTTAAAATATTAATTAATTCAATCTTTATGTATACAGGTTAATCCCATTGAGCATCGGGGACTCATTTACAAGAGAGACCTGGTTTTAACAAAGTGATGACAACAGTGGACAGTCTTAAAAGAAAGCTTATAAACTGAGAAGAACAAATGAAAGAAAATGGTGTTAAAAAAAAACATAAACATCTAGATTATAAGGCGGTGTAGAAAACTAAAAACAGGAACATGTCTGCTTTGGTTCTTACCAGGACCTGAACAGATTCTTAAAGACACTTAGAGAGGTCGAAGGTCGAGAGCTTCAAATCTTTTTGTAAGATATTCCAGGAAACAGGAGCGGAGTAGGAGAAGGTCCTTTTGTCTAGTTCAGTCCTCACTGAGGGAACACTGCAGGTAATGATGTCCTGAGAGCGCACGCTGTAGCTGCACTCACACAGAGATATGTAGGAGGAGATGTATGAAGGCAGCAGACCAAGAAGTGATTTAAAGATGAAAATGTACCAGTGAGAGAGTCTGCGTGAAGTTAATGGTGACCAGTTAACCAGTGAATACTGGGTGCAGTGGTGGGTACGATAATCACAGCCAGTTATGAATCTTAGTGCACCATGATAGACATCATCCAACATCTGCAGCATCCAACATCTGCAGCATCCAACATCTGCAGGGTTCTTGTAGGGAGTATGAACAAACATAATATGAATATGAACAACAGTAAATGTTAAGTAAAAAAGAAACCGTTTAGTTAAAGTGTTCTCCGCACGTTGTGTTTATCCTGCAGTCTGACTTCCTGCTGGTTTTCCAGATTGTGTCACATGTTTTTCTGGTCAGGAAGTCAGTTTCACATCCAGCTGACTGATTTTGAGAAACTGTTGGTTTCACATCCTCAGTCAGCGTTCCAGTGTTTTGTTTAGGAGTTATTCTGCTGCGAGCAAATCATCTGCTCTTGCCAAAAATAAATAAAAGTAACCGAGGATAGTTTTGCAATCTGCTTGTCCTTTAAATTTGACTTCACTTCTTTCTTTAGGTGTGGTCTTAAGAAGTCCTTGAAAGCTGTTGGTTGTATTTCTCACAGTAATTTTTCAAGGCAGGCCTGAGATGACTTCTGTGTGGGTGTGAGTTATGAAAGGACTGAGGTGGCACGATGGAGTTAAAGTCAACCCGCTGCTGTTCACCTCTGAGCTGCCTAGTGAGGTCGTGACAGAGCCCAAACATTCAATACATGAACGACTGAGACAACACCGAGAGTGATGCAGTGATGGAAGGAGGTCGTTGTGATCACCTGACCGTGACATCCAGCAAACATTTGATATGTAGTGCTCCATGTTAACTCTGCTGAGTTCACCCTTCATGCCTCCGTTGGTTCCTCAATGCCTGCTTCATTTATGAAAGTTCACATTGTTGCAAAAAGTGCTCCAGTCAACACTTGATTTACCTTCAAAAGCATTAAACAGACGCTGATCTTTGACTATTGGAGTAAAGACAACATTCATAATAATTATCATAATAAATCATTATTATTATTATGTATAGTTAAATAAGAGACAGTATCATTTGTAAAGAGAATCTACTTTTAATGACTTGTGAGAGGTCATCCAGGGTCCAGTCTAGATCTAGGTGAGTTTTGTACGACGTCTACACAACAGCAGTGGCACTCGTTGCTTTTTGCAGGACTGGATCCATGCGTGTCTCTGCCTGAGCTTCAAAATGTTCCTGAAAAGTGCTGTACCATTATTATTGTGCAGATTATGCTGTGAGGCAACAGCTTGCTTTGGGTGATGCTGAGCCTTTGCACTTCTTCTCAAATGACCACACACTTGTTGCCAGGTCGACCACACTGCTGTCCTGCTGGTTACTGATCACCTTCTTCAAATCAGTGGTGGGTGAGGCCTTCACCCTCTGGCCAGAGAATGTCAGCTTATGTGCTGACTTTGTGGCAGGCACAGAAACAGCAGGCAGAACCCAAACAAACAGGACATGTAGCAGCGCACGAGGCTTCCTGTACCTCGTTTTCCTACAAAGTCCGGTTCGTTTAGGGAGGTGTGAACGCACCATCAAACTCTGTCACGGAACAAAAAGGTGAACTCTGGCCCGGGCTAAAACCTAGGTCTCGGTCCGGTAGAAGAGAACTCCAGCGCGGTTCCAGTGCAGTGTGAATGTAAACAGACCGGGTCCCGCTCCGCAGGACAAACAAACACACATTTCTCTGACCTCATATGGAGCCGTCAGCTGACTTGTGTGAAAAACAATATTCTCCATGGTCTTCTGTCTCATCTTCTGCTCATGCTGAGTCCATTTTTGAAAAATGACAAAATATAACTCCTAAAACTGCTAAAACTTGATGCCACTTCGTTTTTATTTTTATTTACAAAAGAAGAAGAAGAAGAAGAAGAAGAAGTGTCTTCAGAGGTTTTTGTGTCGTTTCTTTCAGTAGTTCTTGGTGCAGCGCCCCCACAGGTGAGCGGGGGAACAGGTTGGTTCAACAGGTTGACTCGACTGCACAGTGCAGTGTGAATGCAAACGCACCAGCTCACATGTAACAAAAGCTCATGAATATTGGTCCTGAACCGAACCGAGTCTACCGGACTATCTGGTGTGAAAACGACCTAATTCTACTTGGTGATTTGAACATTCATATTGATGATTAGAATGATAGATTTGCATACGAGTTCCTTGATCTTATTCATACTTGACTGTACTCATCATGTCTCTGGTCCAACATATGAACATGGTCATACTCTTGATTTAATTATTACTTCAGGTCTCAGCATAGTCCATCTCTCCATTATTAATACACATATCTCTGACCATGGTGCTATTTGATTTAGCTTTCCTTTAGCTGTTGAGACCTCAGACAACCAAGCCCCATGTTGGTTTAGACCCATCACATCTCAGACTGTGGAACAATTTAATGAAATCCATCAAGGTTACCCTCAGCTTCAAGTCAGATTCTTCTCTCTCTACAGATGATCTGGCAACAGAATCCAGATGTGCAGCAACACTGGACACTGTGGCCCCTTGTAACATGTCTAAATCCCACTCTGCTTTGTCCAAACCAGCACCTTGGATAAATGATGGCGTTCGATCCATCAGGAGGGCATGCAGACGTGCTGAGCAGAAATACAACTCTCACCATTTGAGCTGTGATGTTTTTACTATGAAGAATCTTTAGAAAGATTATAACAGAATGCTTAAAGAAGAAACATCTAAATATTTCTCAGCCCTCATTGCTTCAAATTTGCATAATCCAAAACTTTTATTTAACACTATAAACTCTAATTTACAAATCACCTATTACTAATGAATTCTCTTCTGAGAAACGTGAGTTATTTTGTTCATTTTTTATTAATAAAATCTCTTATCAGTGCTCAAATTGTGCCATCTGCCTCTACTGTTCAGCACGAGGAAGTAAATCACCTTCAGTTCATTTAGCCTCTTATCTCAGGCTGAGTTAGTCTCAGACTATCAACTGTACGAGACCTTCCTCTTCTTTTTACATGTTTTACCAACAACATGTTTTAAGGATATTTGTCACTTTTTAATTCCTGATATTCTAACAGTTTTTAACAAATCATTATCTACAGGGGTCGTTCCCAAAATGTTTAAAACTGCTGCTGTTGAACCATTACTGAAGAAACCCCACCTGGATTGTAACGATCTGAACAACTTCAGGCCGATCTCTAAACGACCCTTTATTGTGAAAACTTTAGAGAAAGTGTTGAACTCTCAGATCTGAACTTATTTAAACCAAAACTCACTTTTTGAAAAGTTTCACTCTGGCTTTCGTCCGTATCACAGTACAGAAACCACATTATTACAAGTTGTGAAAGATATTAGGATGAACTCAGATGCTGGCTGTTGTTCTGTCTGAGTGCTCCTGGATCTTTCTGCTGCGTTTGATACAGTTGATCATAATACTCTACTGAGCCGACTAAATCATTGGTCAGGTGTTGGAGACATTGCTCTGAGGGCGTTCAAATCTTATCTTCATGAGAATCTTCACCAGCTTATCTTCTTGACAGAACTTTTTTGGTAATTTCTGGCAGTAATTCCTCCAGTTCAGCTTCTGTCACCTGTGGTGTCCCCCAAGGGTCTATTTTTGGGCCACTGTTATTTTCTATTTATATGCTACCACTTGGTCAGGTTATGGCAGCCGATTCCCAGATTTATTTGGCTATTAACCCATCTGACCTCTCTACACACTAAACTTTATCTCTGTCTTACAGACATCAAAACCTGGATGTCTGATCATTTTCTTTCACTCAACAACGATAAAACTGAGGTGATGGTGTTTGGACCAAAGGCTAAAAGGGATTTATTAGTTCAGTCCCTTTCTGTTTGAACTGCACTTGTGAAGCCAGAAATTTGGGGGTAACCTTTGATTCTGATCTTAGTTTATCTAAACATTTTGAGAATATTATCAAAATCAGAGCATTTATCTCTTTAACTGATGCAGAAACTCTTATTCATGCCTTTGTCTCTCGTCATCTTGATTATTGTAACTGTTTATTTTCTGGTTTGCCCCAAACTTCTCTGAATCGCCTTCAACCAGTACAAACACAGCAGCTAGAGTTCTCACAAGATCCCATAAATATCGGCACATCTCTCCTGTTCTGTCCTCGTTGCACTGGCTTCCTGTGGTTTGTAGAATTGACTTTAAAATAGTATTGTTTGTTTTTAAATCCCTGAACGGTCTTGCTCCATCATATCTGTCTGAGCTTCTTACCCCTACATCCCTTCTTGCAGCCTCAGATCCTTAAATCTTGTTTTCCACTCCCAGAGCTCGACTGGTGACAGGAGGGGGGAGGGCTTTCATGGTCAGGGCTCATTCTTTGTGGAATGCTCTTCCTTTTAAATATTAGACAGACCTCTTCATCATCTTCTTTTAAATCATTTGTTAAAACTTACTTGTTTAATAAGACTTTTAATATCTGAATTTCTTCCTTTCTTCTTATATTAGGTATTTTAATTGATTTGGTATACTTTTGTGTTTCTAATGTCATTTATGATGTTTTAATTGATTAATGTGAAGCACTTTGTAACATTTGTTTGAAAGGTGCTATACAAATAAAGTATTATTATTATCTCATTATTTTCTCTACACTTGTGTGCTGAAGGTTAGTTGCATCCTTTGCTTTCTTTTCCAGGTTCTTGGTGGTTCCACAGGTCGGTTTGCAGGCCACGTGTCTCAGCGGCAGCCCTCCTACCTGCGGCAGCAGCAGAGGAACCTCTCTCTACACGAGTACATGAGCATCGGCCTGCTTAAAGAGGAGGGCATCTCTGTTCCAGTTGGCATGGTAGCTAGCTCCTCCGAGGAGGCGTACGCTGTGGCCAAGCAGATCGGTAAGAGACCCTGAGCCAGAACCAAGTGCCAGATTAGTTTTTGTGTAGGTCATTTCAGAAACACACGGTTCAAACACTGCGCTGTCAGCTGTCTCTGATTATGGTGCAAGTTCCAGCCACTGTAGAAATGAGCACAAACTGCTTGTTGTCGTTCACTTGTGGTAATTCAACTGGTGTTGGAACAATTTCCTCCTAGATCAGGATAAAAGACGTCTGTAATCTCAGGAGGAATTCTTTACAGACACAAATTCTCATGTGAAAAAAGTTGCATGAAATAAAATCAAAGAAGCAATCTAAACTTGAAGCCTTTTCTTGGAATAACTCCCCATCCCAAGCACACATTCTGTAACTATCATAAGGATAAAATTATCAGTTCAGTCACTTTAGTGTCTAACTGTGTCATTTTGTCAGTTGCAGCAGACAAAAGCTGTTTTAATGTATGTACTTTTTTCATGTACCGCAACTGCCGGTCTATAGAACGCACCCTATATGGCCTATAAGCCGTGCACACTAAATAAATAAAAACAAACAATTTTGTACATGTATAAGCTGCACTTGTGTATGAGCTGTGAGTGTTCACGTTGTAATTGAATTCAGCTTATTTATTTAGCTCCAAGTCATACCAGAAGTTTTCTCAGTAACGAGAGGCAGCACAGCTACTGAGAGATGTGCAGCTCTTGTTGTTGTACATCAAGAATCAACCACCAGATGGCGTTTTATACACTTTACTCTTCAACACACGGACCACAGAGGAGTGAACCCCACAGGCCCACAGTCAACCACAGCAGAATGCTACAATAAGTACTAGTAACATGCACAAATACTACAGTAAATGGTTTTTTCTGAACAGTGCCGGTAACACGGCTGGTTAAAAAAACAAAAACAAAAAACCCACAATAGCCTACCAGGAAGTCATTGATGCTGTCTTCATTAAGTTGTCCTCCGAAGAGCTCACATGACTCACGGGGAGAAGATTCCCCACCCCTCCCCAGTTCTTTCCTCCCCTCCCCAATCAGTACACGTCTCTCTTGGGGGGTGGGCCCTCATGACTCAACGATACTGCCTGTTTAAATAAATAAACAAATAAATAAAGGTTAAAAAACATCTGACCAATGAAATTACCAGACAGTCACAGTTGAACCAGTGAAACGAAGAATGGGGATGGGGGGGGGAGATCCCCCCCTCCTCTCCTCCTCCTCCCTGTGAGCTTGAGAGTGGACAGGTGGACAGCTGTCTTCCTGGTAGGCTACGTTTTTTTTTTTGTAGCATTCTGCTGTGGTTGACTGTAGTTCACATGGCCTCAGGGAGGGATTATGGGTAACATTTATGTTCATTGTAAATCTCCGGATGCATGCTCAATAATCCAGGTAGAAAAATCTAAAAATGTTAAATCTGGTCCTCTGGACATTCAAAAATCAAAACAAAGCAACAACAAAATTGTAGAAACGTTTCGTCTTTCATTCGAAAGACTTCCTCAGTCTGAGGTGCTGTATTCAGCTCAGTCTCTTAAATAGCACCTTCTCAGAGTGGATCAACCAGTTTTGCTGCTGACAACCAAAACCAGCTGATCACATGCTCAAGAAGGACCATCAGCCTAACAATGGATCATTAGCACCTGATGGCTGTTTACTATTCACAGAGGGCTGAAACAAACAAAAAATCCATAACAGCATAAGCCGCAGGGTTTAAAGTCTCTGAAAAAAGTAGCGGCTTATAGACCGGAAGTTATGGAACTACTTTAGCAGTAATAGTTATTCCAATCATAGTTTCTTATGTTAAGCCACTGCTACAGTAAATATGTTGCTGAGTCACAATGTATGTGTGTGTGTTAGGCTCAAAGGACCTGGTGGTGAAAGCTCAGGTGTTGGCTGGAGGCAGAGGAAAGGGGACGTTTGAGGGTGGACTGAAGGGAGGAGTCAGAATCGTCTACTCGTAAGTCACTGGCATCAATAACGAGCACAACCAGACTGCTGGTAAAAACAGAAATGTCCCGTTCTGGTAGATGTACTGTGGCTACGGAAAGTATTCAGACCCCTTTACATGTTTCGCTCTTTGTTCCATTGCAGCCTTTTGCTAAAATCAAAGTTCATTTTATTTCTCATTAATGTGCACTCAGCACCCCATCTTGACATAAAAAAACCAGAAATGTAGACATTTTTGCAAATTTACAAAAAAATAAAAACTGAAATCACATGGTCATAAGTATTCAGACCCTTTGCTGTGAAACTCATATTTAACTCACTTACTGTCCATTTCCTTCTGATCCTCCCTGAGACGTTTTTACTCCTTCATTTGAGTCCAGCTGTGTTTAATTAACCTGATGGGACTTGATTAGGACAGGCACACATCTGTCTATACAAGACCTCACAGCTCACAGTGCATGTCAGAGCAAATGAGAGTCATGAGGTCAAAGGAACTGCCCATGGAGCTCGGAGACAGAATTGTGGCAAGGCACAGATCTGACCAAGGTTACAAAATAATTCCTGCAGCACTCAAGGTTCCTAAGAGCACAGTGGCCTCCATAATCCTTTAATGGAAGAAGTTTGGGACGACCAGAACTCATCCTACACCTGACCGTCCAGCCAAACTGAGCAATCATGGGAGAAGAGCCTTGGTGAGAGAGGCAAAGAAGAACCCAAAGATCACTGTGTCCGAGCTCCAGAGATGCAGTAGAGAGAGAGTTCCACAAAGTCAACCATCACTTCAGCCCTCCACCAGCCGGGGCTTTATGGCAGAGTGGCCCAACGGAAGCCTCTCCTCAGTGCAAGACATTTGAAAACCTGCACAGAGTTTACCAAAAAACACATGAAGGACTCCCAGACTATGAGAAATAAGATTCTCTGGTCTGATGAGACGAAGACTGAACTTTTTGGCTTTAAGCTGTATGTGTGGAGAAAACCAGGCACTGCTCATCACCTGCCCAATACAATCCCAACAGTGAAACATGGTGGTGGCAGCATCATGCTATGGGTTTTTTTCTCAGCTGCAGGGACAGGACGACTGGTTGCAGCTGAAGGAAAGATGCAGCCAAGTACAGAGATATCCTCTTCTAGAGTGCTCTGGACCTCAGACTGGGCTGAAGGTTCACCTTCCAACAAGACAATGACTCTAAGCACACAACTAAAATGACAAAGGAGTGGCTTCGGAACAACTCTGTGACCATTCTTGACTGGCCCAGCCAGAACCCTGACCTAAACCCAAGTGAGCATCTCTGGAGAGACCTGAAAATGGCTGTCCACCATCGTTCACCATCCAACCTGATGGAACTGGAGAGGATCCCCAAATCCAGGTGTGATAAACTTGTTGCATCATTCCCAACAAGACTCGTGGCTGTACTAGCTCAAAAGGTGCTTCTACTCAATACTGAGCAAAGGGTCTGAATACTTATGACCATGTGATATTTCAATTTTTCTTTTTTAATACATTTTGCAAAATGTCTACATGTCTGTGTTTTTTCTGTCAAGATGGGGTGCTGAGTGCACATTAATGAGAAATAAAATAAACTTTTTTTGATTTTAGCAAAAGGCTGCAATAAAACAAAGAGTGAAAAATATAAAGGGGTCTGAATACTTTCTGTACCACAAGAGTTCTCATCCTGAAGGTTTCAGTTCTTCATCTGATCATTTCTGATCATTTGAACAACACAGCAAACAACAAGGACACTTGTTCCAAGCAGATGCAGTGTGGGGACATTTACTGTTAGAGATTACACAAACTGTGGGACATTTCTCACACTTTTCCTTCCACATTGACAAACCAGTACATGATCGTCTTCTGCTGAACTGGAGTGTGAAACCAGAACCACGAGCTAAATACTGTGATACAACCCACCCCAGTGAATACTGTAACAGTACATGTATTAATACCCAACTGACATCAGGGTCTGGTGTGTGCCGTCAGATGAAAACTACATTAGTCACAGACAATCATACACTCATCTAGAAGCAGGTACAGTGAGGAAAATAAGTATTTGAACACTCTGCGACTTTGCAAGTTCTCCCACTTTGAAATCATGGAGGGTCTGAAATGTTCATCTTAGGTGCATGTCCTCTGTGAGAGACATGATCTAAAAAAACGTCATCCAGAAATCACAATGTTTGATTTTTTTTAATAATTTATTTGTGTGTTACTGCTGCAAATCAGTATTTGAACACCTGTGAACATCACTGTTAATATTTGGTACAGTATCTTTGTTTGCAGTTACAGAGGTCAAAGGTTTCCTGTAGTTTGTCACCAGGTTCACTGCAGCAGAGATTCTGGTCCATTCCTCCACAGATCTTCTCTAGATCAGCAGGTTTCTGGGCTGTCACTGAGAAACAGAGTTTGAACTCCCTCCAAAGATTTTCTATAGGGTTCAGGTCTGGAGACTGGCTGGTCCACTCCAGAACCTTGATCTGCTTCTTACGGAGCCACTCCTTGGTTCTCCTGGCTGTGTGGGTCATTGTCATGTTGAAAGACGCAGCCATGACCATCTTCAATGTTCTCACTGAGGGGAGGAGGTTGTTCCCCAAAATCTCTCACTACATGGCCCCGGTCATCCTCTCCTTAATACAGTGCAGTCGTCCTGTCCCATGTGCAGAAAAACACCCAAAGCATGATGCTTCCACCCCCATGCTTCACAGTAGGGATGGTGTTTTTGAGATGGTACTCATCATTCTTCGTCCTCCAAACACGACGAGTGGAATTAAGACCAAAAAGTTCTATTTTGGTCTCATCTGACCACAGAACTTTCTCCCATGACTCCTCTGGATCATCCAAATGGTCCTGGTCAAACTTAAGACGGGTCTGAACGTGTGCTGATTTAAGCAGGGGAGCCTTCTGTGCCATGCATGATTTTAAACTATGACGTCTTAGTTTATTACCCACAGTAACCATGGAAACAGTGGTGCCAGCTCTCGTCAGGTCATGATTTTAAACTATGACGTCTTAGTGTATTACCCACAGTAACCATGGAAACAGTGGTGCCAGCTCTCTTCAGGTCATGATTTTAAACTATGATGTCTTAGTGTATTACCCACAGTAACCATGGAAACAGTGGTGCCAGCTCTCGTCAGGTCATGGACCAGCTCCTCCGTGTAGTTCTGGGCTGATTCCTCACCTTTCTTAGGATCACTGATACGCCACCAGGTGAGATCTTCCATGGAGCCCCAGTCCGAGGGAGATAAACAGTCATGTTTAGCTTCTTCCATTTTCTAATAGTTGCTCCAACAGTTGATCTTTTTTCAACAAGCTGCTTGGCAGTTGCCCCGTAGCTCTTGCCAGCCTTGTGGAGGTCTACAATTTAGTCTCTGGTGTCTTTATGCAGCTAACCACCTCAAACAGCTGCTTCTAATTTAGAATAATAAGTGGAGGTGGACTATCAGGTCTTTGAGGACCAGAACTGTTGCTGATTGGCAGGTGTTCAAATACTTATTTTGCAGCAGTAGCATTATAAAAAAAAATCACACATTGTGATTTCTGGATTATTTCTTTAGATGATGTCTCTCACAGTGGACATGCACCTAAGATGAACATTTCAGACCCTCCATGATTTCTATCTGGAAGAACTTGCAAAGTCGCAGGAGTTCAAATACTTATTTTTCTCACTGTACGTGTTGATTTTTACTGGTTTTCTCTAACGGCTGAGACAGAAAAGGAGACGAGGAAGAAACTAAAACACAAAGTAAGAATAGCTGTTCACATGAAAGGCAGGAGCTTTAAGTCCTGCTTGAGACGTGGACTTATGGAAAGTCATATGGATAAGTCACGTTTTAAATGTTTGTGGCAAGTGTTTGTTATTCTATATCCCTGATTTCAAGCATCATTTCCCCAGACCACCTACGGTTCACTAACAGAAGCTTTGTGTGACTGTTTAACAGCTTATTGAAGTGTTTTTACATTAGGACTCACTTGTTATTTTTGCATCACTTCTAAATCAGAGATACTGAAACATTGGTTTTGTTTGTATTTAACTTTATTAACAAAAGAGAGAGATACGTTTCAGTTTTGTACTTTCACAATATTTTTGTTCAATGCGTGGTCTGTAGAGCACCGTTCACTAATTAAATAGCCCAAATATTTCTACACAATATGTTTATGCTCTTGGCTGTCACCAGTTGATGAATCCTACATTTCTGCATGACTTTAGAGCCTCCTCACTAGTTATAGTGGTTTGTTTTCCTCTCTGCCTCTGTGAGGGTTTGTGTCTGTTAAAAATAAATTAGGTAAAAAAATGTTTTTCTGCTGTGACTCTAAAACTAAAATTTAATCTCCATAGAAAAGGAGACTTTATTTTTTCCTTTCAGTTTTAAAAGTCTGTTTTGCCTCAGTTGAACCTCATAATTTTTTCTCCTTTTCACTTCCAGACCAGAGGAGGCCCGAGACATTTCGTCTCAGATGATTGGTAGAAAACTGTACACCAAACAGACCGGGGAGGCGGGTCGCATCTGCAACCAGGTGTTTATCTGCGAGCGTAGGTACCCCCGCAGAGAGTACTACTTCGCCATCACCATGGAGAGGTCCTTTCAGGTGAACAAAGACAACAAATACTTGGAGCGGGTGGTTTTGGGGTTTCCAGGAACAAGTTGGCCTGAAAATGGAGACGTAGTTTCTTTACAGTAGCTCCTCGCTACTTCGTGGTTCGTTTATCGCGGATTCGCTCTATCGCCGTTTTTCAAAATACAGGGGGCCTGTCTGACAAGCAGAGGTAACTCGTTCCAAAGTCTTGGTCCTGCTACAGAGAAGGCCCTGTCACCTCTGCGCTTAAGACAAGTTCCTGGAACTGTGAGGAGCAACTGGTCCGCTGACCTCAGAGGACGTGGTGGGACATACGTCTGTAGCAGATCAGAGAGATGGGTGTGTGTGTGTGTGTGTGTGAAACTGTTCAGAGATTTGTAGACATACAGGAGTATTTTGAATTGGATTCGAAGGTGAACTGGTAACCAGTGCAGTGAGGCCAAAACTGTTGTAATGTGCTCTCTTTTGCCTGTACTGGTTAAAAATCGGGCTGCTGCATTCTGGACCAGTTGTAGTCGTGCAATGGAGGTCTGACTGATACCAAACAGGAGTGAATTGCAGTAATCAAGCCTAGATGTAATGAATGCATGTATTACTGTCTCCAGGTTATTTTTGGACAATATGGGCTTCAGTTTAGACAGCCGCCTCAGTTGGAAGAAGCATGATTTAACAATCATGTTTACGTGATTAAGTTTCAGGGATGGGTCCATTATCACTCCCAGATTTGTGACTCTTTGTTTTTCTGACAGGGTTAGAGCGGAGAGGTCGATACAGTGGTTTGTGATCGTGTCATTGGGAGGGAACAACATGACTTCAGACTTCTTTTCATTGAAACTTAAGAAATTAAAAGCCAACCATTCCCTGATGTCAGCCAGGCAGTCGAGCAGAGGTTGAATAGAGCATGTACCATTGTGTTTTAGGGGGAAGTAAATTTGACAGTCATTGGCGTAGAAGTGAAAGAGCATGTTGTGTTTCTGGAAAATAGCACCAAGCGGCAGCAGGTATAAAGAGAATAGGAGGGGACCCAGGATGGACCCCTGCGGAACCCCCCATTTAAGCTCTGTCGCTGCAGAACTAAAATCCTTGATGGAGACACAAAAGGATCTGTCAGTGAGGTAAGATCTGAACCAATTGAGGGCTGACCCTGTGATGCCCACTCACTGCTCCAACCTAGCAATGAGGATCTCATGGTCGATGGTGTCAAAGGCGGCTGTGAGGTCCAACAGGACAAGCAGCACAGAATCACCGGTATCTGTGAATCTGAAGATGTCGTTAAAGACCTTCAGCAGGGCAGTTTCAGTGCTGTGGAGAGGTTTAAAGTCAGATTGGTATAGCTCTAAGATGGCGTGATCCTCCTGGAAGCACTTCAACTGGGACTCAACTATTTTCTCAAGTAGTTTAGAATCGAATGGGAGTTTGGAGACAGGCCGGAAGTTGGAAACGACTGAGGGGTCAAGGTTTGTTTTTTTCAGGAGAGGCTGGACAGCAGCATGTTTAAAGGATTTTGGCACCACACCATTGGATAAATACTGTTTACTATATCAAGAATGGACGGACCTAGAGTAGGAAAAACCTCCTTTGGTAGTCGAGGGGGGACCACATCAAAGGGGGAACCAGAAGGCTTCAAGCTGCACATGACCTGCTCTAGAGAAGATAGAGATATGTATATGTATGTATATATATATATGTATAAATATGTATATATATATATGTATATGTATGTATGTACAAACTGGATTCCAAAAAAATTGGGACACTAAACAAATTGTGAATAAAAACTGAATGCAATGATGTGGAGATGGCAAATGTCAATATTTTTTTCGTAATATAACATAGATGACAGATCAAAAAGTTTAATCTGAGTAAATGTAACATTTTAAAGGAAAAATATGTTGATTCAAAATTTCAGTGTCAACAAATCCCAAAAAAGTTGGGACAAGTAGCAATAAGTGGCTGGAAAAAGGAAATAGAACATATAACAAACAGCTGGAAGACCAATTAACACTAATTAGGTCAATTGACAACATGACTGGGTATAAAAAGAGCTCCTCAGAGTGTCAGTGTCTCTCAGAAGCCAAGATGGTAAGAGGATCACCAATTCCACCATTGTTGCGCAGAAAGATATTGCAGCAATACCAGAATGGTGTTACCCAGCGTACAATATCAAAGACTTTTAAGTTATCATCAACCGTGCATAACATCATCAAAAGATTCAGAGAATCTGGAACAATCACTGTGCGTAAGGGTCAAGGCCGTAAAACTCTACTGGATGCTCGTGATCTCCGGGCCCTTAAACGTCACTGCACCTCAAACAGGAATGCCACTGTCAAGGAAATAACAGAATGGGCTCAGAAATACTTCCAGAAAGCATTGTCAGTGAACACAATCCACTGTGCCATCCGCCGTTGCCAGCTGAAACTCTACAGTGCAAAGAGGAAGCCATTTCTAAGCAAGCTCCACAAGCTCAGATGTTTGCACTGGGCCAGGGGTCATTTAAAATGGAGTGTGGTAAAATGGAAGACTGTTCTGTGGTCAGATGAGTCACGATTTGAAGTTCTTTATGGAACACTGGGACGCCATGTCATCCGGACCAGAGAGGACAAGGATAGCCCAAGTTGTTATAAACGCTCCGTTCAGAAGCCTGCATCACTGATGGTATGGGGTTGCATGAGCGCTTGTGGCATGGGCAGCTTGCATGTCTGGAAAGGCACCATTAATGCAGAGAACTATGTTCAGGTTCTAGAACAACATCTGCTCCCATCTAGACGTCATCTCTTTCAGGGAAGACCCTGCATTTTTCAAAACGATAATGCCAGACCACATTCTGCAGCAATCACAACATCATGGCTACGTAGGAGAAGGATCCGGGTACTGAAATGGCCAGCCTGCAGTCCAGATCTTTCACCTATAGAGAACATTTGGCGCATCATAAAGAGGAAGGTGCGACAAAGAAGGCCCAAGACGATTGAACAGTTAGAGGCCTGTATTAGACATGAATGGGAGAGCATTCCTATTTCTAAACTTGAGAAACTGGTCTCCTCTGTCCCCAGACGTCTGTTGAGTGTTGTAAGAAGAAGCGGGGATGCCGCACTGTGGTAAAAATGGACTTGTCACAACTTTTTTGGGATTTGTTGACGCCATGAAATTTGGAAACAACAGATTTTCCCCTTAAAATGATACATTCTCTCAGTTTAAACTTTTGATCTGTGATTTGTGTTCTATTCTGAATAAAATATTAGATGTTGGCACCTCCACATCATTGCATTCAGTTTTTATTCACGATTTGTTTAGTGTCCCAACTTATTTGGAATCCGGTTTGTATATGTATGTGTTTTTGTGTATATATATGTATATATATATATATATGTGTGTGTGTGTGTGTGTGTGTGTGTATATATATATAATGTATGTGTGTATATATATATATAATGTATGTGTTTATATATAATGTATGTGTGTATATATATGTATGTGTGTATATATATGTATGTGTGTATATATATGTATGTGTGTATATATATGCATGTGTGTGTGTATGTATGTGTGTGTGTATATATGTATGTGTGTATATATATATATATATATATATGTATGTGTGTATATATATATATATATATATATGTATGTGTGTATATATATATATATGTATGTGT